AAAGTTTTAAGAAATTGCCATCCTCCATTTCCCTCCCCAGATCCTTTCCGTGGCCCACACTTCCTTTTAAGAGAACGAATTGGATTTTCTTTGCATCTCACCAACGTGGGGCATAGCTACAGCCAAAGAAGCCATGAGCACAGGTGCTCGGAAACACGGGGAACGGCGTTCCCCCTTTCCCTGCGTTCTAATTGTGGGTGTATGACAAAGTGTTACCAGATATCAATCTAGGCACTGAGAGATCCTGAAGACCTTTCTCATCATTGAAAGAACCTGCTGAATGCCTAGAATCAATTTAAAGGAGCTAGCCACTCTTCTCGTGAGGACTGTTCCGTTTAAAGATTACCAGGCGGAGGAAAAATTAACCATGTCGTATTCAATTTAACTTTCAAATTTCACTTAAATGGGCAAATGTTCTGTGGCATATGAAGCTCCTTCCTCCCTCACTTCTCCCCTCCTTTCTTCACTCTCTCTTCCTCCCTCCCATCATGCAGTCTGTCCCCACACTCCTTCCTTTGTTCTCCTCCACTTCCCTCCCCCCCCCCCCCGTCACCCCCCCCTTTCCTTCTTTCTCCTCCTCCCTTTCCTCCCTTGCCATCCTTTCTAGCCTTTTATACCAAATAAAAAAAAATCTCCTTTCCCTCTTGCAGTTTTCTTCTTTTAGCCCCCCTCTTTTGGGACTGTCACGGAATGTTCCCCATTCATCGGCACCACCTGCATCCCAGGTGTACCGCTCTCTTCCTGGGAGATGCGATTGTTCTTTAAAGGCCGGACGCTTTTTCTCCAGAAGTAGGAACTGAATCAGTTTTCTGCTTTGGGATGCTAATTTTGGCTTCCCTTTCTTCGTAACTAAATTATAATTTGTAGATCAACAGGAAGCCATCTGCTCTCCGAGACTGAGGACCTGGAAGGGGTGTTTGGTGGAAAGGGCTCTCGGTGGGTGGAGTGGAGTGAGCTGGGGGCTGCAGTTCCAGTAGCTCCTTGAGTCTGGAGCAGGGAGGGCAAGACTCTTAGAGGCTGGGAATTTAGGGGTAAAAGCAATGCTGGGTGTATATATAGAGAGAAGTATGTCTACTCACTGGCCCAGAATTACTGCTGCTATTGCCTGCCACTCGGACCACTGTAAGGTTGTGCATTCTATCTTTACCCCTTTGAAGACAGGTCCTGGAAGACAGGCTAAGGTCCTGCTGAGCCCTCTCTTCTGGATGATTGTCTGCCACACCAAAGGTCTCCTTTCTAGTCACGACAGTTGGACAGAGCCCAGTTGCACTGGGCCAGAGAAATGAGACCTTGGTGGAAGAAGGGCACTGTGCCCTAGAGGCTCATTTTGGTTTCCTTGGAAACAAGTCGGATGTGGTACTCACCAGTTGGGGTCTTAAAGCTACAGATATCTAGAGAATCCCATCATATAACAAATACCCTTCAGCAAATAAAATATAAAATTATATTTATTTTTTTATGCCTGCATGTATGTCTGTGTACTATGGGTGTGCCTGGTGTCTGAGGAGGCCAGAAGAATGTAGAATCCTGGGACCGGAGCTGCCATGTGAGTACTGAGAATTGAACCTAGGTTGTCTGGAAGAGCAGTCAGTGCTCTTAACCATAGAGAAATCTCTCCAGTCTTCTCACTATTTTTAAAAAGATTTATTTATTTATTATGCATTTAGTGTTCTGCCTGCATGTATACCTGCTTGCCAGAAGAGAGCACCAAATCTCATTACAGATGGTTGTGAGCCACCATATGGTTGCTGGGAATTGAACTCAGGACCTTTGGAAGAGCAGCCAGTGCTCTTAACTGCTGAGCCATCATCTCTCCAGACCCCCAGCAATAATTTTTAATACAGAATTTACTTCATTGCTCTAAGGACTTTGACCAAGGTTTGTTGATCCCAAGTTGCAGCTTCCACTCTTCAGAATTCTTCCTCCTCCTCTTCTGTTGTCTTCTCTTGGAATAGGACCTTAATGGACACCAGGCTGGCCTCCACTCTGTCTTGTATCTGAGGATGTAGAGAATGACCTTGAACACTTGTGCCTTCCGCCTCCACATCCTGTGTGCTGGGACCACACTGAGTCACCATCCCTGGTGCTGGGGATGGAACCAGGGGTTCATTCATGCTACCCATCTGAGTTAATCTAGCCACAGAATTCTCTCCCTCCAACCCGCTGCTTCGTTTCCCCTTCCTTGCTTCTTTCTTTCTAACTTTGTTCTTTCCTTCCTTCCTTCCTTTCTTCCTTCCTTCCTTCTTTCCTTCCTTTCTACCATGACTTTCCAGCTTTGTGGAAAATGATTGCTAGTTCATGGTAGTCAGGCTAAAGATTCTGAACAGATACTATATGATTTATGACATCTACTAGATTTTTACACAATTACATCTAATTTATTAAAGTTTATTTCTGAAGGCTTGGAAGGAAATTCCATTCCCAACTAGAGAATTGTAATTAAAAGGGCAGAGAGCCATTCGGTAAGCAGAGGCTTGACAGTCTGATCAAGACTCCAGCTCCGTGGAGAAAGCATGTGCTCTGACTTCAGATAGTTCCGCAGAGCTGCCTAGCTTTCCCCTCTCGTTTTCTCATTTTCCCACATGGCCCAGGCTGACCTTGAACTCCTCATGTACCTACAGGTGACATTGAACTGCTATCCTGTTCCTCCTCCAAAATTCTCGGATCATAGGCATAGACCACACACTCGAGTCTATGTGGTGCCAGGGACCAACTTGGGGCTTTATGCATGGTTGGCAAGGATGTTAGCAACTGAGCTGCAAACCCAGGAACCTCATTTGTCTTCAGACACGACGTTTCCCAGCTACTTGGTGAACACAAGATTGGCTCTTCCCTAGGTTTCACAGGACCAAGGCTCTTTGAATCTTTGGTCTTAAATACTAACAAGCAGGGAGTCCTTGGAAAAACAGAACTTTGCCCGGTAGATGATTCTGTAGGAATGATAGGAGGAAATGATATTGGTAGGAAGCAATCAGAGGTAACATCAGAAAGGAAGGAGAAAGGAACAAAGATGACCGCCCTTACCAGACTTCAACACTACGCCAGGAAAACTCACAACCATTGTCTTGTGAGGATGACTCCTTCAGAGATGCTGATGTTGCGTGTCTTGTCCCACAAGAGCAACGATAGCAACACAGTGCCCTCCACGTGATGGACACTCGTCTGTGTCCTTTATCTACACTCGTACAATTGTTGACTTCATTGGCAGTGACTGGAAGACTTCCCAGTGGTCCCTACAGCTTAAAGCTTCCTCAGCCTCACCAGAACCCATCTGAGGACTAAGCCTTACCCCACGGGCCTTGGAGGGGCATTGCCGGCCCACTTTCTGGCTGGGCAGGTGCAGAGAGAGCATGAACACACCGGACAAAGGAATGGTTTGTACTCTTGCAGAACAGATTGTGACGGTGTAAGATTTCATCGCGCTCTTTTAGAAGGGTATGTGATTAAACCATGAATTGTTCATTGCATGTGATAGTTTTGGACTTTAGTTGACTGCAGCTAGCTAAACAGAAAAAAAAATAAAACAGAAAGGGGGGACAACTAAGTCTTGACTTGCCCATCATTTCTAGACCCCTGCACCTAGCAGGCATCTCTAGTACTTTCCTCCTCAGTAACTGGCCCATTTTCTCACCTCCAAAGGCTCACCAGAATCTACGCTGGCCCCTCTGTCCGTTCATTCTCCCCTAGTTTTTGAGTAACAGCCTCCTAGAGCAGACCTGGTGATGCTGGTGAAATGTAACTTCAAACCTTCTACCCCCTCCCACTATTTTTTACAGCAAAGCCTACACCCTTTCCTTTGGTCTTTTCCAGCCTCGTCTACCTCATCCCATGCTCATGTAGTTTCCTTTGCTCAGCAGGTCCCAGTTGCAGGGCTTGCTTTGATTTTCTAGAGCTCTCCAGGCCCCTTCCAACCCAAGTACCTCTGTTCCAACCGCTCTTCAGGCGCTGTCATGGTAAAACACCAGGGTATAAAATAGTTCTTTACTGCCGAAATGAAGAAAACACAGTCTCTGTTAGACAGAGACGTTGAGACTTCTCTTTGGGAGCAGGTGCCTTCTGACATCATCATTATCATCATCATCATCATCATCATCATCATCATCATCATCATCACCATCAGTGTGATACTGGAGATTGAGCACAGCACCTCACAAAGACCCAATTGTTTTTATACCCGAGTATTCAGGGGAGGAAGCAAATGACGTCAGAGGACCTGGCCTAGTTTGCCTGCTCACCGTCTGTCTGAGGTTGCAGAGGCCTGTTGGGGCAGCCTAAAGGGAAGATAAGCCTGGGCTTTGTCTGGAGTATCCAAGTCTCTTTTCTGCCGGCCACAGGGACCTCCACCAGAGACTGGACTCTTGATAGCTTGAACCTAGTCTCTCCAAGAGGCTGTTTTATTACTATTCAGTGAGCACTCATTGGTGCTCTCACTGGTTGACGGTCCTGGTGGTCTTTTGCTTCCTTGGGACCAAAATTCAGAAGATCAGGAAGTTGCAGACCTGGCAGGGGCATTAGTGACATGCGTCTAGCTGCGTGCACTGTCTGAAATCATGGGCCCTGCTTACTACCCACCCTGTAAATAGGCACTGACTCTAACTTAACTTTCGGGGAGAACACCATCTCCCCAGTTTTCTAGTGATGTTTATCCATTGCTTTGAGAACAAGTGGCTCGAAAACTTGGGAGGTTTTCTGTGAGCTGTCAGAGCAATCCAGAAGGAGATGGTATGATAGGATGGATGGGTAGATGGATGACTGAATCAGCGGGCGGTGCATGGGTGGACCGATGATGGCTGACTGGTTGGGAGTCTAGGAGGTGGACTGAAGACCGAAGAGGGACCCCTTCCTTCTTCCCACCACCTGTCTGCTTCTCCTTAGCATGCTCTTTTGCAGAGCACTGAAGGAGGAACTTGCAGCGGGGCGGTGGGAGAGGCGAGGTTGGGGGGAGCTGGGGAAGGAGAGTGGAGAGGAGGAGGAGGGCCTTGGAGGCGGAGAGGAGGGGCGGCGGGCGCCCGGGGAGCCTGGTGCTGGCAGCGGCTCTGGCGCTTAGGGGACCGATGTCGCTGCCGCTGCCGCTGCGGCCGCCTCCTCGCGGGCCGGAGCTGCGTCGCTCCGGCTGAGCTGCAGCCGCAAGCCGCAAGTCGAGCGGCCGCTGGGTTTGCCCGCAAGACTGGAGGATGGGCTGCGGCGGGAGCCGGGCTGATGCCATCGAGCCCCGCTACTACGAGAGCTGGACCCGGGAGACCGAGTCCACCTGGCTCACCTACACCGACTCGGATGCGCTGCCCAGCGCCGCCGCCCCGGACAGCGGTCCGGAGGCGGGCGGCCTGCACGCGGGTGAGTGAGCCCCGTGCCCGCGAGGCCCGGCTGCCCGCAATCAGCTAGAGCTGCAGGGGAGCCCAGGGCAGCCAGGACCCCCGTGGCGTGCTTGCGGGTGGGGTGACAGAGGGACAGAATAGGACCTGCAAGCTGACCAGCTGCCAGAATGGAGCCCAGGGAGCGAGGTCAAGAACAGCTTCCCAGAGGACTGAGCTACCACCTCCTCTCTGCATCCTTTTGATCCAAAGCTTCTTGGCCTCAGCCAGCCAGTGCATATGCATTGGCCCGGGCGTGGGAGGGCGGGATAGGAGGACAGCCCACTTCACCCACAAACCTAACCCTCAGCTCACACCTCGTTTCCCACCTGAGCCAGTGGGCCTTTACCCAGCCATGGTCCAGCTTCTCTTCTGGCCATCTCTGTACTCAATTGGGTAATTCTCCATGCCCTGGGTCATTTGGCCCTCACATCTTTGATGTATGGACAAGAATCTTGAGCAGAATGTTCGGGGTGGAGCCTTTCTGTCTCCTCCTCCATCCCACCCTGCTGGGAATGAGCCCGTGGCTGGGCTTCAAAATTCTAACCTAGTTCAGGGCATCATTCATGCCTGCCCACCACCAGCGTCGCTCTCCAGCTCATTTGCCAAGTCGTTATGTCATAGTGAAGGACTTTTCTCCTATCCCAAGATGCTTGAGTGCTCTCTGTGAAGCAAGAAATAAATGGTTTCGACTATACAAGCTCTCACCTAGGTCATTCCTCGGACAGCAGAAATCAGACAAGGGTATGCAGAGAAGTTTCTGGTCTAGGCATGAGTCAGGATTTGAGTTTAAAGCAGACACACACACACACACACACACACATACATTGCCGAGGTAGATACTGTTGAGGTAGACGGATCTTTGATCCTAAATGTGTTGGTGATGTCTCAAAGAGAAACCAATGAAACCTCACCTCTTGTTACATAGATCAATATTTGGGTTTTTAAAGTTCTGTTGCCTGATCCCATTGTGTTGCATTACTTTATAATCTTGGGAATCAATATTCCCTTTAGTCCCAGCAATTGCTCCTTTTATTTTCTTACGGACACCAGATCTGGCTATATTGTCCAGACTGACTCTGAGCTCCTGGGCTCAAGTTTTCTTCCTCCCCCAGTCCCTGTCCTCCATGGTTGGGAGCCAGGCATGAGCCTCCCCTGCTTGCCTGGGAAAACTGTGGTCACACTGGATTCATCTGAAAACTGCTTGAGTCCCAATGACCACAATGGCTATTTGGTGGTGGTGCTGCTGCTGTGCCCAGTGGGTTCCCAAAGGATGTTCTGGCTGAATTTGGAGTCAGAAAGAGAATGAGCAGAGCCTCCGAAGGCTTCGTAAATGTTTGCTGTGCCAGCACTTTCCCAAGAAAGGGTCACCCTTCTCTGTAGAGTCCAAGGCCAGGGAAGCCCTGCCAGCAAACATGGTCGGAAAGATTGGGCCTGGAAAAGAAGGAAGTGCAGCTTCAAGGAACAGGTGTTTGGCTGGCACTCGCTCAGCGCACGTGTGTGTGTGTGCATGTGTTTATTGTATGGGTACAAAAGTTGCTATGGATTGGCTGAATAAGCACATACGTGTTCCTCATATTTTTCCCAGCATTTATTCATTATTTTCTGTTTATATATCATGAAATCTGGTTGCCTGTCCCAAATCTGGGACAGGCACACTCATAGATGGAACCTTGCCAAACAGGAACAGCCTTCCGAGGTCCTGAAGACAGTCTCATTCAGAGAAGGGCCTTACTTCCAGTCCAGGGACAGTGTCCGAGATGACCGCAGTGCCAATCAGTGTCAGAGTGGGGGGACACTCCTGAGGATCAAGAACGAACAAGGCGTGCATGGGCCTAAGTCCCCCCACCCCCGGCATGTGCCATCTGTTTACTTAGTAACTATTATGTGTTGCACATTCTGTTAGTCTGTGGACTTAGCAAACGCAGAGCGGAACCAGTGTGGTGAGTACATATATTCGTTTTCTACCTCCGCGTGTGGAATTACACTGGAGCAGCTCAGAGCAGCCCACGTTGTGGACGTTGTCCCCGTGGTTGGAATACAGGCCATTGCTTGGCTAGATCTTTGCTTAGGGTCCCGAGACTTCAGGCTTGCTCCTTTTTTATTGTTAATTAATTGAATTTTCCCAGCCTGATCATGGTTTCCCCTACTCCCAGTCCCCTTCCCTTGGTCTCCTTCTTTCTCTTTGAAAAGGATAGGCCTCTCATGAATATTGGTCAACCGTGGTATAAGAAGTTGCAGTGAGACTAGGCTTCTCGTCTCCTACTAAGGCTGGATGAGGCAACCAGGAGGAGGAGGAAAGGGTCCCAAAAGTAGGGGACAGCCAGAGACAGCTCCTGCCCCCACTGTCAGGAGTCTCCCAGGTGGACCAAGCTACGCAGCTGTAACATATATACAGAGTGCCTAGGTCAGTCCCATTCAGGGTTCCTGGTTGTCAGTTCAGTCTCTGTGAGCCCCTATGAGCCCAGATTAGTTGATTCTGTGGGTTTTCTTGTGGTACCCTTGATCCCTTTGGCTCCTATAATTCTTTCTTCCCCAAGCTCCCCCTAACGTTTGACTGTGGGCCTCTGCATCTGTTTCCATCAGTTGCTGGGTGAAGCCTCAGATGGCAAATGAGCTAGGCAGCAATTGATGAGTATAGCAGAACACCATTGGGAAACGTTTCATTGACTTTTTCTCTTTTTATTGCCAGTCCTGTTTGGTTCTATCCTGGGTCCCCAGGATGTCCAGTCTCTGGGTCCTGGCCCTCCAGGCACTGTCAGGGATGGGTTCCCTCTCACAGTATAGGTCTGAAGCCAGACTAGTCATTGGCTGGCCACTTCCGTAATTTCTGGGCCACCTTTGTCCTGGCTTACCTTGTAGGCAGGGCCAATGGTAGGCCGGAGGTTGTATGAGCCTAACTTTTATGGAGTGCGCTGGTACTGGTGGGGAAGGAAGGGGGGCTTGTTTGCTGTGGTTTCTGTCACCCTGGGCCAGGACTCCCCATTCTTGAGTTCCTCCCAACCCCCTAACCCCCACCCCATTTCATCTTTTGTGTCCCCATGTGTGAACCCAACCCCATGGCCTACGGTGCCTGTGCTGTGTAGGGAACCAGAATGCCAGTCTTTGTAACAATCCTTTTCTGACCGAGGCAGGCAGAAGAGCTGGATTTAAGACAGTGCAGGTTGTCAAATAACCAAGATGCCTTTGCTCTAGGATGGAGCTGGAGAGGACCCTAGAGGTCATCTGTCCAGGGCCAATGGACTTTCAGATCAATTGTCCCCATCTGGAAACTCCCTCAACCATGTACCTTCAGTTCCTCAGTTTTCCAGAAATCCCTCTTCCCGGGGTCCTGGTCCCTCTTCCTTGGTGTCAAATGGGCGCCACCTTTCTCATGGTGACCTTAACCCCTCTCTGTCTTCTGCGTTTAGAGGACGTGTGACACAAGGCTGGGCTCCAGGAAGGTTCTCTCCAGAAGGCTGAGAACCAACCGAGAAAGGTTTTCTCTGGATGAGCAGCACGCGCTCCACCCTGCCCTCCGGGTATCTCAGCTGTTCCATGTTTTCTTTTTCTCTCTTCCTTGTAGTTCCTGCAGCCGGACATCCCCCAACCTGAGTCAGCTTAGGGAAGTTCTCCCGGGTGTCTTTCTGACCCCACAGCTTCTGTTAAGAAAGTCTCTCCCCCAACTTTAACCCTTCCGTGGTTCCCCGCATGCCGATTCCACAAACCTGTCTACTGAGCAGCTCCATTCCAGCACAGGGGCCTTAGACTCTCACTCAGCTCCCACCCACCTTCCAGACTGAGGGGGTGTCATCTTGGTGTCATCTGACAAGCGTTCCGCGGATTTGTGCAAGAGTTCCGCGTTTTCCTGTGGGCGGTGGGAGGCTTATTTTTATGCCGGTTCCACAACTGAGTTTCTTGCCCGCCCCCCATTCCTCTCACGTACAGCCGACCCTGAGGTTCTGTTTCCTGCCTTTGGAGGTTGTTTCCAGCAGCCAGCAGAATGCAATTAAGTTTTCAGGTCCCACTGTCAGTAGGTTGGGATGGAAGACCTAGCTGAAGCTGCAGCCGCTGGTGGTGTCCTTCCCCGGCCCGTATTTCTAAACTTATTGTAGAAGGGAATGGAGCTGGTCTGGCGTGGGTTGAGTCTCCTAAGATCATCAGTCTGCTGGACTGGACTGGTTATTTTGTTGTGCTTCTGTTGTGGAGGGGGGCTCTCCCAGGAGAGTCTGAGGTTGCCACAACCTGCCCAGTGCAGCTGTCCACTCACTGATGCCCCCTTAGTCCCTTTGCCATTTCATTGTCAGTCTCTCCTGAAAACTGCAAGTGTTGCCCATACATTTTTTCTAATCTATTTAGCGAGTAAAACACCTCAAGTCTTTCTCAAGTAGTTCTTTACAGTTTTAAATAATTGTGTTGGTATATAGATGGCACTTTGGAGAGCTGGGGCATGATTTACCTAAATGAGCTGTAAGACAAAGTGAAGATATTTAGTATTATCTTTAGCTACCATTTGCTGATGACTTCTGAAGGATCAGGCACTGTACTTGACATTTGATGTAAATCACCCCACTTAATGTATACAAGGATGAAATAGGAACCATTTCTTCCTGTGTTTGTAAGCCAGGGAAAGAGGCTTAGACTGTCACGAACAACTTCTCCATCCTAGAACTGGGATCCGGCTTTCTCTGATGACAAACTCCACTGTGGTGGTTTGAAAGAAAATGGCCCCCAAAAGGAGTGGCACTGTTAGGAGGTGTGAGGTGTGGCCTTGTTGGAGGAGGTGTGTCACTGTGGGGCCGGCTTTGAGGTCTCTTTTCTCAAGCTTCACTCGGTGTGACAGTCAGCCAACTTCCTGCTGCCTTCTGGTCAAGATGGAGCCAGCACCATGGCTGCCTGCACACTGCCATGCTCCCTGTCATGACGGACTGAACCTCTGAAACTATAAGCCACCACTTCAATTAAATGCTTTCTCATAAGAGTTGCCGTGGTCATGGTGTCTCT